CTTGGCCCCTTGGTTAGAGCCCTGAGAGTGGCAAGGCACTGTCAGGATGCGGCCCCCCGTGATGGGTGCAGCGTTCGTGTCAGATGGCTCTTTGCAGGTCTGTGGGCAAATATGCTGTGTTTGCCCTCGATAGGTGCTTCTGCCCCTTTCCTGGTGGCCCAGAGGACCTCCCGGTAGGGCTGGGCTGGGCCAGGTCTGTGGGGCACCCGTCCTTCTCCAGGCTCTGTCCAGGCAGCCCGTGATTTAGCAAAACCCCTTCGGCATCCCACGCTGCCACCTGGGTTTCTCACGGTGCCATCCTGGTGCACACCAGGCCGTGGTCCAGAGCTCGTGGTTCCTCGGTGGGGGAGAAAAGGAGGGCTTGTCCCAGGCTGGGGACGGGAGGTGCTGGGGTCTGAGGCTTGGACGCGTGGCACCTGGTTGTGCTTGTGTGCAGGAGAGGAGGTCCAGGTGATGCTCGGGATGCGGGGCTTCCTGGGGACGCCTCAAGATGCCGTCTTCTCCTTCTGCACGTAGCCCGAAACAGCTGCTGAACGCTCTGGCGGCTGGGGACGAGCGGCCGTCAGGCAAAGCTGGCTCTGCTCCGGCGGCAGCATCGCCGTGGTCGCGTCGCACCCAGCCGGGCTCGCGCTCGCAACATTAACCCAAGCATACGCTTCCTAACGACCCTCGAGCCAGGGAAATGATGTATGGAGAGGCAGCCAGCAATCTGAGAAGGTGCAGGTGGGAAGGGAAGATTAATCAGGAACCAGGAGTTACTCGCTCTGGAATAAGGTGCGGCGCTGAGAATATAAATATTGGTACAGATAATAACGGTGACGGCGACGCTTGGGAAGGGGAAGATGGATCACCAGCTATTAGTGGGCATTATTACAGCAGCTGCAATGCATCACTTCAGAAGAATGGGACGGATACATCGTGCCAGTGCGTTTATTTTAAATTCCCAAACTTTTATTACAATAGAAGTTTTCAAAAATAGAAATAACTGCATTTAGAGACGAATTAAAGCCCAGTTTTGCAAACCGATGTGCTCTGCTGCTCCATGCTGTGTAATACAGAGATGTCGAGCATTGCAGTTGGAGCACGGTTTTACACCTAAATATATTTGTGTGTAATTAATACCCATGTTGAAAGAGGCAGCTCGTAAAATATGCGAACGCCGTTTGATATTCCAGCATTTCACACTGTCCCGATCCCATGGGGTTGACTTCAGTGGGAGCTGTTAGCAATCAGCACCTGTGGATCTAAGCGCTAAAATTATTATTGTTAATTGCTGTTTATTACGGGTTGAATTTTCAAAAGTGTTCTAAGACTTAGGAGCCCCTGGGGGAGTTTGTAAAGGCTCAGATGACAGTCAAGTACATGACACCATCACCTTTAAATACAAGTTGGGCACTACGTTTTGGTGCTGCCTTTGGAGCCTGTGCTTGCTGGGGCATCTCCTAAGCAATGGGGGCACTTCTGAAAACGTGCCCTTTTTGCTGCTTAGTTTATCTCTGATGTAAATAATTGTTACTGGGCTCTGCTTAGTGTGGGGCTTGGGCATGGCTGAGCTGAACGTCTGGCGAGATTGCCTTATGGCGATCAGGAGAGCGTCCCCCTCCTCTGGGAAATGTTAAATTAAAAATCACCCGGTTGCCTATCAGGGCAGGGATCGTGCTTTGTGGGTGGCGGTGCATCGCCCAGTGAAACTGGATCCAGAGCTTTGAAACCTGGACGTGGTACCCATGGCCAGGGGAGCGCGGGGCCATCGCTGGAGGCAGCTGCCTGAGCCAGGCTGAGCTGGTCTGGGGGGCACCGCGGGTCCTGGTGCAGCCCGGGGGGGTCGGCTCAGCCCCATCACGCTTTCCCCCTCAGCGAGGCAGGGCTGGATGCTTCTACCGACTGCACGGAGCCATCAGATTTTTATTTGGTATCTGCTTACTGCTTGGAACGGACGTGGGCTCCGACGGCAGTTTGTAACCCTACTGTGGGGAAGGGAGGTGGTTTCGTTGGTGTGGAAGAAGCCTGTTTGTGAGAAAAGTCAAGCAGAGCAAGAACGAGTGCAGTGTTTTAAACATACCCAAACCCAACCCATTAAAATTTATTCCCTAAGTATAATACGGTTAAAGTCACTGACACGAGAGCTGCTCCTCGTCCTAACGAGGAGAGGCAGGAGATGAACAGGAGGCTGCGAGCATCTTTGGAGGCAGGTGGGGCTGGACCCAGCTTGATGCTGGGCTTGGTCGAATGGTCCCAATGGGGCGCTTGGCCGGCGGGTCTGTCTCGGCTGGGCCGATTAACACCGAGCAAAAACGCTGCAAGGGCAGAGCTGGCAGAGCACGGCAGGCTGGGCATCCCAGGCGGCCTGGCACGGGGCTCCGAGAGGCTTCTTGGCTGCCATCCCCGCTCGTGCCGAGCGGTGCTTTGCCTTTTCCAGCCTCCAGCGAGCGGGAGGATCTGCAGCAGGCACCGATCTGGGAACAAACAAGACTTGCTAATGCAGACAGGGAACATGGCCTGAACGTGGCAACGCTGAGAGTTTTCTTCTTGTTGCGGTTATCCGCCCTCCTTGGTGCGAGAGCAGTTGTGGGTTTGCCTGATCAAGTGCCAGCGAATGTGCCCTCTTTATTATTGCTAAATCACTCTCCTTCTCATTCCAGCGAACATGATCTGGGGGAAGATATTTATGACTGCGTCCCCTGTGAAGACGAAGGCGATGATATCTATGAAGATATCATCAGAGTGGAAGTTCAGCAGCCCATGGTAACAATTTATATGCATTTCTAAAGGTACACCTTGATGGGAGGGGAAGGGAGGGGATTCAGTTAAATAAACATCTGCCGATGGCAGGTGATGTTGCGGGGAAGCGAATCGCTTTGCATTGCTCCTCGAAACCGAGCTGCCTCATGAGAGGTAAAAATAAGCCAAGCTGGGATGGCGTTGGCCCGGAGGGGGTTCTCCGAGGAGTTTCCCAGCCCATCGTGTTGTCTGAAAGAGTTTGGGGAGGAGGAGGAGGGGAAAGGGAGAGCTAATAAGCCCTAAAAGATAAACTAAAAATAGCAATTTGCTGCTGAGCCAAGGCAGCGTGTGTCACTTCAGCCCTTGCCGGGGATGGGGAAGCGCAGCAGCTCTGCCTGCTCCATCAGCCAGATGTGCCGCGTCTGCCGCGGGTATTTTTAGAGCGGGGCAAGCGCTGACAGATCCGTGCGTGGAGGATCCAGCGCTTGTTCCTGCCTGCTGCCGCTCCTGCCTGGGTGTCTTGGAGCGGGTAGATGTTGACAGCGAAGCTTTCTGGGGCAGCGGGGACCTGCGTGGCTTTTGGGACAAGCAGCCAACCCCATCCATCATCTCTTTCCAGTGATGGGGAAACCCAGGTGTGCAGCACGCACATCTCATGGAGGGATTCGCATTAACTCCCAAGGGCCCTGGGGCAAATATCACGTTCCGTGGATGAGCCAGGAAGGCGCTGGTGGCCCCTGCATCTCCCCAGAGGTGCTCACAGCTGCCCTCGCTACCCATGTCCCCAGTGCCGAGGGGACCGGCTGCCCTGGCTTCTGCTGATGCAGAACTGGAAGGGACCTTTTTACCAGAGAGTGACCTTCCAAATTTTCTCCCACCCTCTGACATCTGCCTCCCCCAGGCTTTGTTCAGACTCTAACTACTGTCTCCTGGCTGCAAACAGTACATACCTCCCCGTAACAAAGCAGGATCAATGGACAAGTTCACTGATCAACTAAATCCCCGGAGCAGGGCGCATGGCTGTGCCAGACGAGGTGCTGGGAGGCTGGGAAGGCAAGGTTTTCCCCCACGGAGCCCGGGAAATGAGGGGGCTCTGAGCCCGTGCTCTGATTCCTCACTTCTCCCGGGCTTGGCTGCAAGTGGTGCGAAGACCGTGATGCTGGTGGTTGAGGCATTTCATGCCTTCATGCCTTCTCTGCAGCCTGAGGAGCTCCCTGTGCACCAAAAACCTGTCTGGGTCAAGGAGTTGGGCACAAAATATTCCCACTGATCTTGCCAAAGCGCTTGGAGCTGTTTACGGGCACCGGTAGCAATGCCGAAGTCAGTACAGCTCGTTGGCCATTAGTGTTTTTACCGTGTTGCCATCAATTGCAGAAGCCACTTGGCCCAAGAACTGCCCCTTGGGAAGGTTTTAGAGGAATTTCTTGCATAAAAGGCAAAAATGGGGGAAAGCTCCCACTGTGTTGGGTGCCCCACAGCCCGGTAGTGCAGGGTTAGGGTCAGTGGAACTGGCAATTTTTCACTGTCCCCTCCACAGTGTTTTATGTTCTGTTGGATGTCGATGGCTCTGGCTCCCTTTCCTCCCCTTCCCTGAGCAAAAGAATCTATTTTTAATATAAGCACCTACATATCTGTCTAAATATTAGATTCTTTATTTTTTTAAGATTTGTTGCAGTAGCAAGTGTGTAATGTTAATTGGTTTCTTGTATTTCTGCATGCTTCAGATTAGATATATGCAGGTAAGACGCATTGATTAAAATATGGGTTTCCATCCAGCTTATGGGTCTGAGCTGTGAGTTGGGGGGGGTCTGCAGAGGGTGGCTGGTCCCGTGCATGATCATTAAAACCCCATCACTGAATCACCTCCCAGGTTCAGAGGCTGCACCGAGGAGCGCAGCACCTCCCCGACACATGTTTTCAGCTCCGCTTTACAGACCTAGGAGCAAGAGAAGTGACTCCAGGAGCTGGGGCTTTGAGAAAAGCATACGTTATCAGATTTGACCTAAAATCATGAGAACTGGCAACGCTGGCAGGGAATTTGTATGGGCCTGACGTATTCTTTATGACCCACTTAGGCTCTGTTGTGAGTTTCATTTTAAGCAAAAAAAAAAAAAAAAATGGGGAAAACCAGCATTTATCTCTTATTTATTCTTTCGCTGATAGTCCCTGGTGATGTAGCTATAATAAATGCAAAAAAATGTTATGCTTGCCATGTTGAAACATATTGAATAGTACAGCCAGGGTTCCTTCCTAACTTTTTTGGCTAAAAGTAGTTTCCTTTAACACGAACCAGTGACAGTACTCTCCCAAACTTGTGCTTGTTCTGGGTTTGCTGTCACCGACAGCTCCGCTCTGCAGGAGCAGGTTGCTGGGCCACGCTTAGGCGTATCTGGCCATGCGTTATTTTTCCTTTTCCTAGAAAATGGGAATGACAGAAGATGACAAAAGGAATTGCTGTTTGTTAGAAATCCAAGAAACTGAGGCCAAATACTACAAAACGCTTGAAGATATAGAAAAGGTAAGAGCTGAGCCATCCTTTCTACACCATCGCCTTCCGCATCATCACTTGATCTCGCATTAAGCTCGCGGTATTAGTTCTTGCTGCGAGAGCTGGCAGATGTGATGAGGCAGGATCGATGCATTCACATGTAAAATTGGAGAGAAGGGGGATCCAGAAAACCCATACTGACAAGCACAAATGTGCAGCCTGTGACTGTAAGAGCCAAATAACATATTTTTTCTGATTGCTGCATATTGGGAATAGGCTGAAAACCATCTTGCTGTGTCCCCCCTACCCTGGGGGTAAGAGACTCCCGCTCCTGGCTCAGCCGGGCCGGTCTCGCCAGCAAGAGCCATGTTTGCAGATATCTTATCACTTTGATTGCTACAGAATAATTTCTTTATTCTGGATGTTTTTCAAAAGCGCTGAGGCTGTGCTGATTTGTCATGGAAACTAATTGGATTAAAAGTAACATTTTGCTGCTTGAATTCATGGGTTTTAATTGGTTTTGATCAATCATTGTTGTGCCTTTCTTTTAAATAAAAATAAAAACGAACACCTCAGCAAGACAGCAGAGTCGTGGACACGGCTGGAGCCTGGAGATGGTTTCTGCTCCGAGGAAAGCAGCAGGAA